ATAGATTCATGTATGGTCGTTTTCCGGAAGAAAAAAATGTCAAAAATGGTCGTTTTGAAAGTTTTTTTTACAGAAAAAATCAATCTCCTCTTTCAGTTTTTGACATTTCTAGAATTTCTATATTTCAAAAAAACCGCACATATTTTCTCTACATTTTCTATGAATGAATTTTTAAATTGTCTGATATAACTTTTTTTATAATTCAAAAACCTCATGAAATTGCACAAAATAGCATTTTTGCGTTGTTTTTTGATTATAAAAAAAGTTTTATCAGACGAATTAAAAATTCGTCCATAGAAAATGTAGAGAAAATAAGTGCGGTTTTTTTGAGCTATAGAACTCCTAGAAATGTCAAAAACTGAAAGAGGAGATAGATTTTTTCTGTAAAAAACCTTAAAAAAATGACCATTTTCGACATTTTTTCTTCGGGAAAAGGACCATACATGAATCTATAACCACTAATTAATTTTTTAAGAATCTGTTGAATCATCTTGGAACTCCACAAAATCAGATAAAAAATTCTGAAATTATGGTTTTAGACCTGCAATTGTGATCGCGCCAAACTTTTTTTTCTGTAGATCAAAAATTAATTTGCAGTTCGGAAATGTTCTGTGGGAGAGCGTGCACTTTCAAATTTTCAAACAAGTGTCATTAAGTGTCATTTATGATTACCAAATTTTTAGGCCTATACATCACTGCTTCTGGTTTTGAGCTTATTTTTGAACCAATTTACCTAGGTTCCTGTCACAGACCTTAAAAATCTGTCAACAAAATACATTTTCATCATAATACCACAAATATTTTATTCGTTGACACTTTTTTGAAATTCCTCATGGGAACCGAGATTAATTAGCTCAAACTGGACAATAAGGGGGGCTCTTCTATTAAAGGTTTACGGTATATGGCGTTTGACACATTTGTGGAAAATCCAGAAGAAAAGAATTTTATTGGAACTCGGAATAAATTAATTCTATGAATCCGGAATCCGGACATCTCTGGTGTCAACTACGATCAGTTTTATTTCGAAACGCAAAATTTAAAAAATACAACTATTTCGAACAGGGTTATAAATCTATATGCATAGGTGTCAAGACCGACAGTTTCGGAATTCTAATCATTTATTAAAAAATATTATTTTTCAGCTAATCATAATGGATGTCGCTTTCATTCTTCCCACTCTCTCCCTAATTCTTGCTGGAGTAATCGTCCAATCCGTTGTGTACCTGATCGAAGAACGTGTTTGTAAATTCACCCATCAACAATATCTAACTGGACTCTCTTCGTTTGCCTATTGGGGTGTTGTTTTCCTTTGGGATTTTCTTCTTTTCACTTTTATCGTGTTTTACACTCTGATCTTCATCTGGGCTTTTGGAGTATTTGCTGGTCATGTTCATGAGTGAGTTTTCTCTTAGAATTATGTACTTCTTCTTCTTTTCAGAATCGTCATTCTCTTCTACTGCTTCCTTTTCTACATGGCACCAGTCGTTTATCTAACCTCGAACCTCATCAATTCCCCTACCAAAGGATCTTTCCTTTTCTACATTTTCATGATTGTCACTTATTTTGCTTGCGCCATTTGTTTCATGACGATTGGAATTCATGGAAAAGATAAGGATAAAGAAGGGATAAAGGTAAATTTCGAATTTTTTAAAGTTTTTTTAATCGATATTTTCCAGTGGGGATTCCGAATCGCCAGTCCAAGCGTCGGTCTGTTCTTGGGAATAATCAAGGTCACTGGTGTAACTTATGAGCATTCTGGATTGGCCAAAAAGCCGTTTGATGAGATTGAAAGCTCGTGGGAGTTTAATGGAATTTGTTAGTAGTGTAACAGTAATCTCATCTGACTGAGAATCTATAATTTCAGTGATTGAAATCATGTTCCTTTTGGGTTTTGCCTTACTGATGACTGCATTTTTGTGTTGTACCACATTAAAGCCAATCCGAAGATCTTGTTTCTCGGTTTTCCACAGAAAATCTAAACCAAAGTCAAGAGTTCAATATGTAGGTGTACCATTTTTATGCATACCTTGAAACCTGTATTAGAAATGCCTTCACACTGTCAAATTTGAGCTCAATTATCTCGGCTCCTCTAAGAGATTTCCGTAATGTGGAAACTGATAAAAGTTTTGTGATGTTATGGTTAACATTTTATCAGTTGATAACTTTTTTTGTATCTTCGACAGGAGCCGAAATAAAATGACTCAAAGTTGAGAGATAGGGGCCCTTCTATAACAGGTTTACGGTAAACCTTATCTAACTCTCAGAAAGGGATTGAATCGTGCTCAGCGGTGAAAGAAGAGGAGGAGTTGATTCCAAAAGTGGATCCGAAAGATAAGGTTATCGTTGTGGATGTGAGTAAGATTTTGGGATATCGTGGCAGAGAGTTACTGTACCTTTCCGGCGTCAATTCTAAGCTTAAGATACATTACGAAGTTTGAGTTGTTTCGAAGATGTTCAGAAATCGTTATTCTTATACTATTCTAGTACAAGAAGTCGGAGCTGTGGAAGAGAAATTCATGTGGCCGTGGCCGACGATCCCACAACGACAACTACAGTAACCTAAAATAATTTTTTCTTAGGGTAGGGGAGTTGTCGTTGTGGGTCNCNCGTNCNCGGGCCACCGGGGCTTTTTCTGTTCCACGGCTCCGATTTTTCCGAAAGGTCGTTGTGGTCTACAGAATGTTTGTTGAGTAAAAATACACGTTATTAAAATAATGTGAAACATAAATTTTTTGTACCAGAATAATAATTTGGCCCCAATTCAAATTTTTTTGTAGGGTCTCATCAAAGATTTCGGAAGTTTCCGCGCTATCAACGGTCTATCCGTTTCAGTCGGTCACGAGGAATGTTTTGGAATGCTCGGAGCGAATGGAGCTGGAAAAACGACCACTTTTGATATTATCACTGGACTCACAATGCCAACTGGAGGAAATGTCACCATTGATTTGAAGGATATCACCAAGGATATTGTACATAACTTTTTTTTTCAAGATTTTAGATTTTTTTTTCAGCATATCGGATATTGCCCACAATTCGATGCGATGCTCCAACAAATTTCCTGTAGGCAGACTTTGATAGTAATGGCAAAACTTCAAGGGTATCCAAATGTGAACGAAGTAGTGGAAATGATTCTGGAGTGTGTCGGAATGAAGGAGCATGGAAATAAATTGGTCAAGAATTGCAGGTACTAGATTTTTCCCTACCGTATAACATGTAATAGAAGGGCTCCCCAAACTGTAAAGGTTGAGGTCAATTATCTCATTTTCTGTGAAAGATATAAATAATGTGTAAGCTGATAAAATGTTAGTGATATTTTGATAAACATTTTATCAGCTGAAAAAATTTTATACCTTTGACAGGAACCGAGATACATTCATTGGATTAAAGGTTTTATGTTATTTCTCAATTTTTCTATTACAGTGGTGGTCAAAAACGGAAAATCTCGGTTGGAATCGCTTTAATGTCCCGTGCACACTGTATCATTCTTGACGAGCCAACTGCTGGAATAGATCCACGAGCCCGTAGGGAAATCTGGGATATTATTCATGAAATGAGAGAACAAGATAAGTGCTCAATCGTCCTGACATCCCATTCAATGGAAGAGTGCGAAGCACTGTGTACGAGAATTGGAATTTTGAGAAAAGGGGAAATGATTGCGTTGGGAACGAGTCAATCGTTGAAATCACAATATGGAAATACCTACATGATGACTTTGGTTTTACATCAAATTAAAGATCGGGAAGCTGTGTGTAAGAAAGTGTCCCAAGAAATGCCAGAGGCTGTTTTGAAAACTCCAGAATCCAGTTTGACGACTAGTCTCGTTTGGGAGGTAACTTTCCTGTAATATTTTGAGCTCTTCCTACTAACAAAAACAATTTCAGGTTCCAAAGAAAAAATCTGACAAATGGTCCGAGAAATACAGAGAGGTGGAAGCATTGGCAAAGAAGGCGAATGCAAAAGACTACATGCTGGCACAAGCATCGCTCGAAGACACTTTTATTCGACTCATTACTACTGATTGAATCAATAAAAAATTTATTTTTATATTTTTGTATAAAAAAAGAAAAAAAAGAATTCCGTCGAGCCGGATTCGAACCAGCGACCTAAGGATACCCACTGACTCTACAGTCCTCCGCTCTACCAACTGAGCTATCGACGGCACGAATGTTCATGTCGCGGCGGACAATCACAAGGGCGGCGGAAAAGTGAGAAGGAGCGGGGGAATGAAACCGGCGAGACGAGAGGGAAAAGAGAAATGCGGGGAAATGACTTTCTGGTTACAAAGATGAAAACTGAATAAAACAAATTTACGATGGTTCGGAAAATTCAAAATTCTGGAAGTTGATCGTTTTCTTTAAACGTATATAGATTTTCGTTTCTAATAACCAAAGTAACAAAGAACTTTGAAAGAAGTAAAAATTAAATAAAAACCAGAAACAATCTTTCAAAAAAAATGATGTTAATTTATTTGTAAGTGTTTCTAGAAGCTAAAAATATAACAACAACGTCAAAAAAGTTTAGAAAAAACATCAGCCCAATGCGGGGCTCGAACCCGCGACAACCAGATTAAGAGTCTGGTGCTCTACCGACTGAGCTAACCGGGCGGCGAAAGGGAAGAGGTCAAGGGCGTATAAGAATGACGAGATGATTGGGGAAGAAGAGAGAGAGGGGGAGAAGGCAAGAGAAGAAACAGAAGAAACAGAAAAAATTTATTGAAGAATTACATTTTTAACTTTCGAAGTTCAATACTTCCATACTTTTTCAACAGGTCCTCCTTCCGTTTTTCTTGTCCTTGAAGCTTTTTCGCTTTTCTCTTCTCCGTAATTCTCTCTTGACAAGCCTTCAATTTCTCCAGCCTCGCTTGTTTAGTTTCGTTTGAAATCTCCTTTTGAATCTTTACTTTCTTAACTGTCGGCCCCTGAATCTTAACTTTTTCTGCCTTTTTTGAGTCTATTTTCGAAGTTTCAGCCATTTCTTTCTTCTTATCTAAAGCCATTTGTATTTTATTATTTGCTACTCTATCCTGCTCTTTCCAGGTCAAAAAAATCGCCTCATCGATTTCTTCCTCGATTTGTTGCCATGGTGGTTCCACTTTCCAGCTGAAAAATTCGATGCTACAGTAATCTAACTACAGTAATCCACTTACTATTCCAACGGAAACGTTCTTGCTCTTTTCTTTCGAGGTTTTGTGGTTTTATCAGGGGCTCTTGGAATTTCCAAAATGTCCATAATGTCTATCTCGGTGTTTGTATTAGCGGCTGACACAGTTTCGGTTGGCTCCTCCATTGGTAAGACACTGCTCATAGAAGACAAGGTAAGTTGGGAACTTTAAAGGCGCGTGGCATGTTTTTGGCGATTTGAGACAGTGGATCTTTCGTGGATGTTGGGGGAATTTCACGTATAAGATTATTGAATTTCAGAATTTCTTGATCTGAAAATTTTTGAAAGCTTTCAATGAATACTGTTCAATAAAAAACCCCACTATCTTATAACCTTCATGTCTGATTAATAAAACCACTTCGAAACCGTAAAAATTTAATCTATAAAATAGTCGGTTACTGTAGGTCTATGCAAAAAGCTTTGTCCAATCCAGAATTTTTTTTTAAATACACTATTTTTATTTGAAAAAAGCAAATATCTTGCGATTGTAGTCCACACTTTTGTTCGTTATCCTTCGATTTCTCTTTTTTTTCAGTTTTTCTATTTACATGAAAACCTAGGAGATTTTTGTATTCAACACAATTGTATTTTTAAGTTCTGAAAACTTTAAAAATTAACTTTTAAAAAATATTAACTTATTTCAAAGAAAAATACCTGAAATACACTAAAATGTGAGAAAATGAGAAAGCGCGCCGCAGGGTTGAAAAATCCTCATGCGACGGTTGCGGGGGCGGGGTGAACTAACTCTTTACACATGAGGTGACAGTTTTTTTATTCCGACAATTATTGATAATGGCAAACTAATAATCTCGTAATCTCGATTTTTGATGGTTCAAAAAGTTTTGAAACTGTAAAAAATGAATCTGTAATACGGTAAACACTTCAACAAAAAGTTACCCAAACCGTCAACTTTGACCCCATATATCTCAATTCCTATGAAAGATATGAAAAATGTGTCAATTGACAAAATATTTGTGATATTATGATAAACATTTTGCCAGTGACCGCTTCTTGATATCTTTTAAAGCAACCGAGATATATAAGCTCAAAGTTGGCGGTTCGGGTGGCCTGCCAATTGAGTGATTACGGTAGTTAGAGTTCTGCCAATTATTAATCGTCGACCGCGTAGCTCAGCTGATTGTAGCTCAGAAATTTTAATTATCAATTTATTTACAAAATCAGGAAAAAAATCAAGTTTTTAAAAATTTTGCGAAATGGAAAGCAGACAACTGGAAATTTGAGAAAATTGACACAAGAATGGAGAGAGAAACAGAGAAATAGAGAAAAATGACAGAAACACCGTTCCAGGAATGTGTGTTGGGGGTGGTCTAAGAAAAAAGGTAATAATTTAAAGTCACACGGATCGACTAGATCTTTTTTGGGGGGTTGAAGTGGGAGAGACAGAGAAAAACAAGCAATTTTAAAGCAAGCAGTTTGAAAGAGAGTAAAGAGAATACTGTAGAAAAATTCAAATTTTTGGATCACTCCTTTTTGTCAGACGTAGCAGTTCCTGATTCAATTTCAGTCAATGCAATCACATCCTTCTTTTCTGATTCTGTTATCGTTATCTCCTCATCATTATCTTCGATATACGTATATTGCATGGCTGAAAATATTTTCAGATATTTCAAATATCTCAAAATCAGAAAGTTTACCTAAAAGAATGAAAACTCCCATAACAATAACCATCAGGATACTGTAGAAGAAGAATTCCAATGCTGGATGTGGAATCAAGCGAGTTCCCGAGATCATCATATCAATTAAGTTTCCAGCGAAAACAGTCAAAAGCCACATAGCTGTGAGCACTGATTTCATATTTGGTGCGGCTTGAGAGTAGGCGAATTCCAGTCCGGTTACAGATAATAAAACTTCGCCAAGAGTGATAATAATGTATTGTGGGAGGGACCAGAGAATGCTCACAGAGTTGGGGCGGACCTGGAAATACATTTATGTATATTTTTGAGGTTTCAAAAGAAAAAACAAAAAAAACATCAGCCCAATTCAAGGCTCGAACCCGCGACAACCAGATTAAAGGTGGGGGGGACAGGAGATTTTTCGTAGTTTTTTTTGTAGCTAGAGTATGCATTCTACCGTGACAGTGTACAACGCTTAATGTCACTCTGCGTACAGCTGTCGTTCTCGCATTTATGTATGCAATCGGGCAGCGGCTTTCTCTTTGCCCGCGTGGCTCAGTCGGTAGCGGCGCCGCACCCTCAATCAACGCCCTCACAAGTTCAACTCCTTGAGGGGCATCTTTGAACGGAATTTCGAGAACATTATTTTTTTCATGTCCCCCCACCTTTAAGAGTCTGGTGCTCTAGCGACTGAGCTAACCGGGCGGCAAAGGAGGAGAAGACAAAGGACGTACAAGAGCGCGCGCTCTTATCAAAACACTTGATTAACGTCTACACTAATAGAGCGCTCTTAAATTTGAGAAGATTTATCTCGGTTCCTGTGACAGATTACAAAAAGTGTTAAACTGAAAAAATGTTTATCATAAAACGAGAAACATTTTGTCAGTTGACCACTTTTTGATATCTTACACAAGGACTGAGATGAGTTGGCTCAAAAACAAGAACATATTTCTCAACTCACCAATAAATTGAAATCATCTTCAGTGGTGGAAGGATGAATGTGTAGAACGTGTACAGCTCCCATTTGAGCATTCAGTGCCACAGTATTCGGACAATCAGCTCCAGAGCAGCTACTCTTTGGTCCCCAGTACAATCTGACGTTCGGATCGCTAATGATTCCAGGAATCACATCAACATAGGATCCGGATTTCAACTCGCAACTGCTCAGGATTTTTCCTCTGAAAGTTTCGAAATCTTATCTTTTCTCAGCTTTTTTCGAAATCTCACTTTTTGTTGATAGCATAAACCAAAGTGTTCTCATCGTCCTTGGCAGAAACCACAAAAACTCTGGTCGCTCCATTGTCAGTTTTCTCAACTTTGTAGTCGAATTTCACAACTTTTCTATAAAAATAAAATGGATAGTTCAATAGAGCGCAATTGCAATTACACTTACACTCCTTGATCAAGTCTGAACACAGCCATCACATATCCCTTATTCTGAATTGAGATGTCGATTTCTTGAGATTCATTTTTAATTCCAGTGTTGAAGGTGTAGATGCCAGCGTCGAGTTCGGTACGCCCTTTTGGAAGCATTCCGTCTGCAAAATTTGAAATTTTTGTGATTAGGGCGCGTTTGCAATATCGAAAAGCATCAAATAAAAATATGTAAATATACTCTAGCGAACATAGTTATTATTTTTAACTTTCTTTTTTAAATTAATAACAGAGAGTGCGTTTGACTTCATAAACTCGAAGAAACAGGAAAGTTTAGTAGCCTGTTGTTACCTGGTCCAATAGAGCATACTTACCTCCGATGAGTTCTCCAGAATTCTTGAATCTAAAATCAGTGATCAAACTTTCATTTCCAACTCTTTGCAAGTAAATTCTTCCAAGTGTTGGTGGGAATTCCATCGTTTCGTTTACTTTCAACTGAAAATTCCTTACTTTGAACCTAATAAAAATACAGTATATAAGAATACAGTACCTGCAAAACTCCAGCAATAGCAAACGAGAAAGCGGTCAAAAGACCTCCAACAGCCATTTTCCTCAACGGAGTCACTTTGGTAACCTTCCTCAATGCTGGATAAACCCATCCCTCGAAAATCGGGACCAGGATAAGAACACAAATCGGATTGATAGCGTGGATTTGTTCAGGAAGGATTGAGAAATGACCGACTCTTCCATCGAGACGACGTGCCTGAAGAACCCATGTAGATCCTTGTTGATCAAAAAGTGCCCAGAAGAAAATCAGTGGACAGAATATGACAGCGACATTCAGAAGGCCTCTAACAGAGTCAATCATTTTTTGAGAATGTTCTGGAGCCGCGTGATCAAGCCAATGAGTCACTGGTTTATCTCTAGAAGCACCTCCAACCATTTTACGAAGAGATGTGTAGATAACAGCGATCACTTTGCTTCCGACGTTTTCCTTGCTTGGTGGATACTTTCTATATTGAGACCATCCGAGTAAAAAGAGCACAAGAGCCAATAGCATAAGAACTCCGGGAACACCGAAGGCTAGTGGAAAGCAGTGTTGATTTCCGAAGCATTGAACACGTCCACGGAGGATTGGAGTGATGATAATAGCGAAAAGAGATCCTCCGTTGATGGCAAAGTAGAAGAATGAGAAGAACTGGGAACGCAGATCTTTTTGGTCCTCGGTGAACTGAAATTATTGTTTAGGTTGGGTAGAAAATATCCTCCTATGTACCTGATCAGCTGCAAATGCAGAAACACACGGTTTGATGCATCCGGTGGCAAAAGCGATCACAAAAAGGCCGGAGAAATCAAGTGATGATCGGATTGGGTAGGAGAGGAATGGGACAGCACCGAGAGATAGAAGCACGTGGCCGACGACGTAGATTGTTGAACCGTAGAGGATTACCTGGAATTGATAGGGTCAGAATAATACGGTAAGGTGGACCATGTAAAAAAAATTAGGACAATGGCCGGGGCTAAAAGTCCCAGAACGAACCGTAAACTAACTAACAACTGACTAACTAACTAACTAACTAACTAGTAAGCATATTTTCGTTTCCCAGATTTTTCTCGGCTGTAGCAATGTTAGGTTGTCCGACTTGAATGGGCGGAAATCACAGAAAAATCGGTAAATAAATTTGGTAACCCGAAATATTTTCCGTTTACAGTGTTCCTCTTTCTGGGACTTTCAGCCACGGCGACCAGTTTACAATTTAAATTTTTTTCACTGGTTCGGGCAACAGAAAGAGAGAATTTCTCATTGATTAGAAATACATGTTTATTAAAATGATGTGAAACATAAATTTTTGTATTGAAAATTTTCGCTGCAGCAGTGACTTTGTCTGATTCTTTGTGAGCATTTAGGCAGATTTAGGCATAATGTTTGTGATCATTTAGGCTAATTTTAGGTTTCTAAACAATGTCCGACAAGTTTTATCAGGCAAGTTTTTTACTCATTTTTTTACAATTTATGATGACTACAACCTCCAGGTATCTATACAATTTTTTATTAAAGTGATGTGAAACATACATTTTTTGATTTTCGCTGCTGCATTAAAGGTGGTATGCGGTGAAAAATTGTATTGCTTTATTTTGTGAAGAAATCCATGTAGATTCCCATAAAAACAAAGAAAAAATTCAAAAAAATTCCTTCATTGAGAAAAACGGCATCGAAAAGTCAAAGGGGGATCCGGTGGCCCAGCGGCAAGGTGTGAGTTTTCTAGGCCAACTGCCGGTAAAAGCGCGCGAAATTCGAATTTTTATTGATTTTTAGTATTTAGATTTTTGCCAGGTTTTTTCATACACCTGGGAGGAAATTAACAAGAACATTTTGAAATCTTCAAAGAACTAAAAATCAATAAAAATTCGAATCTCAATGAAGAAATTTTTTTTTGAATTTTTTCTTTGTTTTTATGGGAATCTACATGGATTTTTGCACAAAATAAAGCAATAAATTTTTCACCGCAAACCATCTTTAA